CACCTGATTAAAACTTCCCCAAAATAACCCTCAATCCATCTCAATCAACCACTTTCAGGTGTTAAGAATTCCCGTTTCCCAATAATTCAATCTCAAATTAACAAATAAACCCCCCATTTTCCGGGGACCAAAATCAATTATTTGGGGAAAAACCCAAAAAAAACAAAACTTTATCCCACCACCTAACTAACACCAACTGAATCAATCCCAAAATAAAAAATAAAAAAAGACAACATTTTTCCAAAATCAGCAAAACATAATAAAACCCCTTTACTACTTTAAACCTAAATCAATCTAAATTCCCACCAAATCAAATAAAAGAACAAACCTTTTTTACGTTCGCGACTAGAAGAACTACCAGGAACAAAATCCTCGGAAGCATAACCGTCGGCAGAAGGAGGCACGTGATCAGGAGTAAGATCACCGGCGGCAGGAGAAGTATTCCCAACGACACCGTTTTGATGAAGAGAGAGATTACCCATACTAGCACTTTTTCTGATTGAACCATCGGTTAATCGGACTCCAAAAAGCTTGACCCCTCGGTTCGGACAGGTTCGAGAGTTGTGCCCATTGTGGCTGCAATGGGAGCACCGTCGAGTCATGGCGGCTGGGGTCCAACCCGGGTTTAAGTGGGTTTAGTGATCGGGTTTTGGGTTCGGGTCGGGTTGGGTTTGGTTTTGGTTTGCTTAGGTTAGAGGAAAATTTGGGGAAATGAAATGAATTTGGAGGAAGAAGAGGTACAAGTAATATAAAAAGGAAGTTTTTATTGGGTGTGGTTCGGATAATTAGGTCCCACTTTTAGGTGGATGTTTTTCAGCCGTTGATTTTAAACATGTATCAACGTTTCTTCTGTTTTAAATCTCTATTGTGCACGTCAATATTACAAATTAGTTTTATTTTTTAAAAATAAAAAATAAAAATGGTGTGTATTTGAGTATTTGTATTTGTATAATAAGATATTATGATGTGCCTTGTGGTTCACTCAAATAGTGATTATAATTAAAAAAAATTCTCCTGAAGAAATATCTGGTCGATATTTTCAAATTAACAAGTGTATTGTTTATTCCTTTAAAGTTGTCTTTGATTTTTTTTTCATTTTTTTTTTTGACAGATGATTTGTTGATATTTAGTTACAAGAGAGATCAATTTGTGAAAATTATGAAGAGTTATAAAATATTACAAAATACAACCTTATTTTCACAGTTATATATATACGTATATATACGTAGATAGGAAATACTTGTTTAGTAATGGATATTAAAGCAAATTTTAATGGATGAACTCATTAGTAATTAAAGATTATGAACAACATTGTATCAAAATAGTTCACCTTAAAACTGTGGGGAATAATTAAATAATTGGTGACATATTATACTTCATAGTGTTTTTTATTAACCTAATGTCATTAATAAGTACCCAAAAAAAAAAAAAAAAAAAAACTTAATCATGCGTAAAAAAATAAAAAGAAAAAAACTTTACTGAAATAATATTAGCCGTCAACTAAGCACTTAAATCATACTACGTAGCTTAACTTATTAATCCTTATTTGAATTGATCTAAAAATATATTCTCTAACATAAAAAGTAAGGTGAATAAAATCTACCTAAAAGGTGTCCATGATTCATCAAGTTACCAAAAAAAATAATAAAATAATAAAATCATTAGAAGCATGGACATATTAAAATTACTCCTGCAAAATCATGTGTTTATGAATGATTAAGACACTACTATTTCAAAAAATTGATTCATAAAGCTGTAATATCCTATCCTCTTATTTTCTCTAAAATGAACCATTGACTTATCACTTGGAAGTTTGTGTCAAAGCAAATTAATTAATGGATAAAATTATGCAAATAATTATAGTACGAAATAATACATTACAACGGCATTTAGTTTGAAAGACTGAGAGCATATATACTTCGTGTTCATTTGAGGCCGATAAGAGGCATCTACAAAGCATATAGTTTCTCACGGTCTGTTTTGTTCAGCTTAATTTCAATTCATTTTAGTTCGTTCCAGCTCCAATCAGTGGCGGAACCAGAAAATTTATATAAAGGGGGCCATAATTATAAATTTCAATTGTATTTCTTTCCAAAAATAAAAAGATCATGTAAATTTTGCTTGGAAAAATGAAAATAAAAAAGAAAGATAAGAACGTGAAGACAAAATGAATTAAAGTTTTGTTTAGATCCAAAGAAAACAATGTAAATGTTCTTTGCAAGGATCGAACACGGCTCAGTAAAAAAGTTCTACACCATTTACACCCCAAAAGAAACCAATTTTGCCAAGTTTATAAATAACTACATAGTATACAACAATTCATAAACTTTATCATTTACAGGGGTGGCCATGGCTACCCCCAGCCACCCCCTAATTCCGCCACTGGCTTCAATCAGTTCAGTTTAGTTCTTTTGCTAATTTATTTGTTTTTTTTTATGATTTAGCTAATGATATTGTTAATGACAATTTAAATTAGGCATGCCTTTGGGCGGATTTTTTAAAGTTCATATTTACGTCTAATGATATTGATAATGATGATTAAAGCCAAAATTTCATATTTTTTAGTATATATTACAACAACAACAACAACAACAATAATAATATTACCAATAATTTTTTGGATATTTTCATTTTATATTTTTGGATATTTTCTTCGTTTTTTTATCGTTTGTTTTTGTTTCTTTTTTTAACAGCCAAACTATTACAGTTGATTAATTTCACATGCATTAATTATAAAAAGTTTAAACAAAAAAAAATAGTACGAGTGGATTAATATTGAACTTCATTTTATTTTTCATAATTATTAGTGGATTGTACTATGAAGTAATCCATAGCTAAAAATCATTAATCAATAGTCAAATATATCAGTTCAGTTCAATTCAGCTCCAATCAGTTCAGTTCAGTCCCAGTTCAGTTTAGTTCAGTTCCAATCAGTTCAATTTAATTATGTTGTTTTCAATAAATCATAATAGGCCCTTAGATAAATTCATATAAGATTTTAATATAAATTTGTGTATAAATTCAATTTAATTTGTACTTTGTAGCTTTTAATTACAATTCATCATATTCTAAAAAATGTAGTACTTTGTTACTTTGTTTACGTAGTATATAATTCATGCTAACTATCAAAATAAGAGTTAATATAAAAAGTGGGTACTGAACTTTCATCAATATAGCAAATTGGGTACTCAACTTTGGCTTGTGGCAAATTGGGTACTCTTACTTGCCTAAGTTTACTTTTCCGACGAGTAACTTGCTACAACAGATAATTTGTAAGCAAATATTATATATATATATATAGTAATAATAATAATCAATTTAGTGGAACTTACACATTAAACTACATTTTAGATGTAATTTATTGATAATTGAACATTTGAATTCAACGACTAATAACCCAGATCACCATTTAACCAAATTCTCCTAAAATCAGTACAACAAACATAATGATGATCTCTGCTCTAAAATAAAAAAAAAATAATCAAACTAAACAAAACCCATATCAAAGTTGTCAAATTCATCATCTATAACAGTCACAAGCACCTGAATATCCAACATGCAAACTAAACAATAATAAATAATAAAACAATAATTCATAGTAACTAAACTAAACAATAATTCATAACAAAGCAATCCTTTTCTTTTTTTTTTTTTTTTTGAAACATAACAAACCATCCTTCATAGTAACAAAACAATTAAATTAAGCAGGAAATTGCTGGAAAAATCTGACCACCACCCAACCCACCATCGCACAACCACCCAGGCACCCACACCGCCTTGCTACCACCATTGCATCCACACCCCCATGAAATTTCCACCTCCATGAGACCCATGCTCACATATCCGATCATCCTCTTGAAAAACCCACGAATTCAACCACCCCCATGAAAGCCCTAAAAAATCTGACCACCATCACGAACCCAGGCCACCACCCTCACGAAACCTAGGCTAGCACCCTCGCGAAAATGTCCTCGTAATTCCAACCAACCTTACAAACCCAAGCCACGAAACGCACCCACGAAACCCCCAACAAATTCGACGGAAACTACTACAAACCCCACAAATCCGACGAAACCCGCTTTGAATTAGTTTCTTAAAGGTTGAGAGAAAGAAAGAAGAGCTAAAAGAGGTTTTTTTTTTTCAAACGGGAGCTAAAAGAGGTTGGGAGAGATAAAATATGGGGAAAGATGATTTTTTTGGTTAATTAATTTAATTGAAGGTTTTTTTTTTTTTTTTTAAAAAAAAAAAGTCATTAATGCTTGATAACATGTTAACCTGTTGTTAAAGGTCAAAATTCAGGCAGTACCCAACTTGTAACAAAGCAAAGTTGAGTACCCAATCTGCAACTTTGGCCAAAGTTTAGTACCCACATTTTATTTTTACTCATCAAAATAATCCTTCTACCAATTAAAAATATCCTATGTTGCTAATGTCATACATTACCGAGCTAAGTTTAATTTAATGAAAAAATTAATTATGGATTTAGTCTCTACTGAAAACAGTTAAGGATAAAAATCCCTTTCCCTTTCCCTTCACTCTTAGGGGGTGTTTGGTATAGGTTTTTTAAAGGGGTGGAAACGGAATCATGTTAGTGTTTCCGTTACATTGTGTTTGGTTACGGACTAAAGTAACACAAACCGTTAGTAAGTGGTAACCATTTCCACCCAATTGTTTCCGCCGTAATGAGTGAGGAAACAGATTCTCTTTCCTTCCTTTAACACAAAAAATACAGAAAACTCTTCTCCCTCCTCTTCGCTCGCTCGATTTTCTACTGCAAATCTCTAGATCTTGCTAGACGATTCTACAAGGAAAGCTGCAATTCTCCAGATCTTGCTCCTAAATTTTCAATTTTCTACTGCAAATATCAGGTTTTCTATCTTCATTTCTCTCGTTCAATTTCTAGGGTTCATGCAATATCAATTTTGCCGTTTCTGGTTTGAATTATTTACTTGCTTGTTCGATTGAATTTTTTTTATCTTTTGTTGATTTTCTGCTGAATTTGATAGTATATAATTATATATTGCTATTATTGCTATTATTGCTATAATTGTAGATTATTGCTATACTCGCTCGACAATATACATGACTCTGATTTAGATATAATTACAATGTTGTATTTGCTAATCTGCGTGATTGGTGGAGCATTCTTTGTTGATTAACTAGATATTGATATAATTACTATGTTTTATTTGCTAATCTGCGTGATTGGTGGAACATTCTTTGTTGATTGCTGTTGTTTTGCTGTTTATCGGGTTCAAGGGTTGGAGGTGAACTTATGGGAGGTGGATGGGGTTTCTGGTGGTGAGGATCGGTGGTGTTTTTGATTGGGTAAGTGAATGTCATGGTGATGGTGGTTTTTGGGTGAGTTTTGAAGTTAAGGATGGTAGTATATTTTACCTGGAACGCCTGGAAACGTATCAGTATCAAGTGAGTAATTCGACAATGGGATGACGAATGATTTCATCCGATTTGTGCAGTATTTGGATATTCATAATAGCTGTCAATTTTTTTTGTTTTTTTATTTTTGTTTTTCGGAAAGAGTCAAATGCAGTAGTTTTTCTACTATTAAATCTCCAATTTTATTGAACTTTCATTTAAACATCATACCATCAAGCCATCTACTTGATTAATAATGTATAATTCGTATGTATGAACTAAATGATATTGGTTATGACTTTTTTTTCCTTTATTATATGGGGGACAGGGGTTGGCTTGGGTAGATTAATTTATAAATTCTTAAACGAATGTCTAATTGGTATTGATTGCTGTTAACACACCAAATTATTTCTATCTAATTGATAGAGGATATTGTGTGCTTATTATATATATTCAACCTCTTATATGTTGTAATTGCGTGCTTATTATATAATAAATAAAATCATTTTCTAGTTTTCTATCGCAGACGATTACCTCATGTATGTTATTGCTCCATCCGGCCAAAAATCAGATTATGTTGATCGATGATGTATTTGTTTCTTGTATTTTAATGGTTTTTGATGGGTAATATATTGATACTATTGTATATTTTTTGGACTAGTTTTTCAAGATTTCTACAATGCCCCGACTTATGCGTTCCTCAAGGAAGAAAAAGCTAAAACAAATACAACTAGTTATTTCAATGGTTATTATTATTATTTTGATGATGTATTGGATGTGGCATATGATGTGTGTTGTTACAATAAAGGGTGTTCAATTGAAAGAAAGAAAAAGAAACAAAAAGTTGCTACGAATGTTAGTTTTGAGAGGGCTTTATAAAGAGAGTGATGTGAAATGCAAGAGTGAGCTTCGCGTTAATAGAAGAACTTTCAATATTATTTGTGAGATGCTTAGAGACATTGGTGGTTTGAGTGGAACAAAAAACATGTCACTTCAAGAGATCGTAGCCATGTTTTTATACACGTTGGCTCACCACAAGAAGAATAGGTCTATTGGACAATATTTCTTTAGAAGTGGAGAAACCGTGAGCCGACAATTTCACCTTTGTCTAAGGGCTCTTCTCAAATTACACGAAGTATTACTTTACAATCCCACACCAATATTAGATGATTGTGAAGATGAAAGGTGGAAATTTTTCAAGGTATTGGTCTTTTTTAAGCCCCTAAGTTTTTCTAGGATTTTCTTATTTTTGATTGTATGTAAGTAATATTTTTTCTTATTTTTGTAGAATTGTTTAGGGGCATTAGATGGGACTTACATTAATGTAAATGTGCCTTCACAAGAACGACCAAAATATAGAACAAGAAAAGGAACAATTGCTATGAATGTATTGGGTGTTTGTGCACCCAATTTGCAATTTATTTATGTTCTTCCTGGTTGGGAAGGTTCGGCCCATGATATGCGTGTACTTCGCAATGCTCTCTCTAGACCAAACGGTTTTAGGGTACCTCGAGGTAAGTGAAGCTCATTCTTTTGTGAGTGTATAAGTTTTGTTAGTTTTGGTAGGTAGTAATCCTTTCCTTTAATAACTTTGAAGGTAATTATTATTTGGTTGATGCGGGATATATGAATTGTGAGGGTTTTCTTGCTCCATATAGAGGTCAAAGATACCATTTAAAAGAATGGACGGATCGACAACCCGAAAGTGCCGAGGAGTTCTATAACATGAAACATGCTAGGGCGCGAAATGTGATTGAGAGATGTTTTGGCCTACTTAAAGGAAGATGGAGTATTCTTAGAAGTCCTTCATTTTTCCCTATAAGAACTCATGGACGTATCGTGATGGCTTGTTGCTTATTGCATAATCTAATTAGAAAATTCATGCCTACGGATGATATAAACGAAGATGAATTGAATGAATCCAATGATGATTCCGAAAGTGATTCCGATGATGAAAGGGAATTTATTACAAGTGTTGCTACTTCGGATCATTGGACCAATTTTAGAAACAAATTAGCCCAAGATATGTTTAATGATTGGAGGGCGAGAGGTAGACATGGTCAATAGCAAAAAATGTATGATTTTTTTTACCTTCGATTATATTATAGACATGGTCATCTGCCTTCTGTTATTTTTATTTCTAATTTGCCTACTGTTATTTCTAATCTGCCTTATGTTATTTCTAATTTGTTTAGGATGGAGGCTAGCAATCGAGGAAGAGGTAAAAATAAAAGGTATTGGACGTATGAAGAAGATGCGGTTCTAATAAGATATTTGCATGAGTTGAGTTGCGATCCGAAGTGGAAGTGTGATAATGGGTTTAAGAATGGTTACATGAATAAGTTGGAAGAGATGATCAATGGTGTACTTCCTAATTGTGGCTTGAGAGCAGTTCCCCACATTGAGTCGAGGATCAAGCATTGGTCGGAGAAATATAGTGCATTTGCAGAAATGCTATCCACCTCGGGATTTGGATGGGATGCTGAGAAGAAATTGTTGCAAGTAGACAAGGTCGTGTACGATGAATGGGTGAAGGTATGAACTGCTATTTCATTCTTCTTTGTTCATTTTTTTCAATTACACTTTAGAACTGCTGCTCTGCTGGACAGTTGTGTGTAAAGGTATGAATGGGTGAAGGTATGAACTGCTGCTGGACAGGGAGAGAAGCAGTGTGTGTAATGGAAGGGGGCAGGGAGGGGAATAGGTGATAGGGGAGAGGGGTAGGTGCTGGACAATTTATATATGAATTATGTACTGCTACAAATGCTCATTTTGCTTTAAATCTATACCTGGTTTCTTTGTGTTGCCATGTATGAAGCATGGCTGGTCTTTTGTGCAGGTTTTTACGAGGTTAAAAATTAGATATATGTCTGTTTTAGGGGAAGTGCTGTCAAATTTTCTGCAGATTATTCATGGATTAAAAAAAAAACCTGGAAGAGATTCAAGTGTCCTAAGAATGCAAGCTGGAATTGGAAGCAAGTGTGGAGAATAAGAGATATTATGAAATCTGGTTCTTGTGGTGATATATGGATTGATGATGCTAAAAGGCTACACAATAGCTAGTGGTTATAAGTGCAAAAGAAGCTTGGGCAGAATGACTTTTTATGTAATTTTCTTTGCTGGGGCTGTTTCTTGGGGTAAGAGGTGCTGGTGCTTTGTGTGTTGTATTGCAGTCTGCTTTGGACTGTGGTGATTATTGTTGATGATTGTTTCTATTATATTTTTTGTGGTTTTATTTTCTGTGATTAACAGTTGCCTGGTTCAGTTCTGATTTTCATGTTTTGACTTGTTGCATTCTCTTATATGGCAGACTCATAAGAAAGCTAAAGGGTTGTTTGGAGTTCCATTCATTCACTATGAAACTCTTGCGGAGATATACGCAAAAGACAAAGCTACCGGAGATGCAAGTGAGTCGTTTGTTGATGCTATAGAAGAAATGGGTCAAGAGATTGATAAGCAACCATTCAATGTCGAGAGTGATGAAGAAGATGATGTGAATTCTACTCATTCGGACACTTATTCTTCTACAAGTCAATCCGGAAAACGCCCAATGAAGATAGAGGATGATCATATAACTCCTTCAAAAATGGCAAAAGTGAAGGCTTCTACAATTCATTCTTCCGCAAGTGATTCTACTACTCAATCCGGAAAACCCTCTATAAAGGCGAAGGAGACTAAGGTGAAAGGAAAGAAAGAGGTAAATTTGAAGAGTTTGTGTAGGAATGATGATGATGATTTGGTGGCCTCCCTCCATGATTGTTCCAACAATTTTGGGAAGATATTTGAAAATATCAATGTTAATCTCGGGACTATGGCTAGTGCATGGTCTAAAGCGGAAGAAAGGGAGCAAAGAATGGATGAAAAGGTGAACAAGGTATTGGACGAGGTGATGAAGTTAGATGGCATTTCTCCATCCGAAGCTTTAGAGGTTGCTACTATTCTCATGGCGGAAGAACATAAGCTTCGCATCTTCTATCAAGCACCATTTAATATGAAAAAACAATATGCAATTGATCTTCTTAAGAAGAAGTAGCAACTTGAGCAATGTCTTTGTTTTTTTGTTGAACATATGCAACTTGAGCAATATAGGTTATTTTATTATTAGTCAATGTTTGGATAATTAATGAGTGTCAACTTTGCTATATATATATATATGCAATACAGGTTATTTTATTTTTTTTTATCTTTTTTTTACCATAAAAAAATGTAGCATAGACAATATTATATTATTCATTCTTATTTTTCATTTCCGTTTGTTATACCAAACAAGAGGAAATGGAATGGTGATAATTGTTTCCGTTTCCTTTGATGTACCAAACAACTAGTAAGGGTAACACTTTTTGTTACCTTTTCCCCTCCTAATTTATTTCCATTCCGTTTCCTATACTAACTCCATACCAAACACCCCCTTAATATCTAACCCATAAATACCGAAATTTTAAGAGCTAAGGTATGCTCGGTAGTAAATAGACTAATACGAAGTACCGAGTATAAAATAAGAAATCTTAATCTTTATACACGGTTAGAAAAGAAGAGGAAACTTAATAGAGCCACAAAGCATCGAAATGGGAACGTGAAAAAAAGAAGATGAAGAAGAAGCACGTGGGCGGTGGAAGAGCAAAGAAGGAAGAGAGTGTCATTTTTTTTTAGTACTACTTGTATTATTATTTATAATAGCTTATCCACCTTATCCATATTTTTCTTTGAGATAACATAATTAATATATTATGTTATCCAAAACTCATCAAGACTTTATCAAATCTCTAATCTCCTCGAATCCAATCAGATATATGTGCTAATTATATTTTATCATGCGTTTTTATAAAGTTGATACATGCTTATGGGTGCGCTTTGTTTATTTTTTACAGAGTAGTTGTTCGCCTTGTGGCCTTCAATCTTCGGGTCCATAGTAGTACTTTACTTTATGATAACTCTATAATTTACTTTGTATTAAATAAATAATTAGTGAGTAGCTCGGGCGTTGCCCCGGGTTTCTACTGTTATCGACGTACAATCGATAAATTTGTATAAAGGTTTTTCAAAACTGTAATTGTCATTGTCAAATCAAAATTGAGTTATTCTTTGAGTATCTTATTATTTTTTTAATTGAATATTGTGATTTACACTTATATAATTATTTTTACATATTAATAACATAGTTGATCATTGGCTTGCATGGCTATATAGTCATCTTTGATAAGAGAGGTTGAGGGTTCGAACCACCTTATCCTTATGTTTTTATATTGAGCGATGTTGGTTGCTTTTAAGAACGCCTTTTAATATATTAGTATAGATTTTTCTAACGAGTAACAAATATAAAGGGGGACTTATTAGACCTATTGTTTTGAGATTTTAAACAAGCTTTAGCAGAGCTGAGGTTAACAGAGCCGACTGAATCAGCATAGCAAATTTCAACAAAGCATAGTAGTTCAAAAAAACAAGACCTAAGTCTAGCTCGCTCACACTCGTATTTTATACAAAGTAATTTTTTTAGCTAGGTTGCAAAATTTATAGGTTCATTTGGGTTTACCATTCTCTAATTTTTTATGGTTTAGAAGTTATTTAAAATTTGACAGCAAAGCCACAAAAATTAGGATAATATATAAAATTATAAATTTTAACAAGTACACATTGATAGAGTATATAAACTGATCATGAGCTTTAACCATTTGCTTAAACTTTTAGTTGAGATGCTCCTCTAATTTGACATCAAAGCTAGCGTGACACACTTCAAGCTCAGTAAGCTCTCATGTGAGAGGGTGTGATAGAGTATATAAATCGATCCAGAATTTCAACCATTAGTTTAAGTTTTTAATTCGGTTTAAATGATCCTCTAACACACACAGATCACCTGTTAGCAATATCATGTTAGCATTTTTTTTTATCTATAACAGATCATGTAAACATCAATACATCATATTATGTCATCCTTAATCTCATCAAGGACTTCAAATGGCAACTTAAAGCAACATAGAATAAATTTATGGCGGAGTACATTAATAGGTTATAAATAGAATTACTAGAGACGACTTATATTATTTCAAATTGCCCTCAATATGTCGAGACATATGCCGCTCTAGAGTCTAGACACAATTCGTTTGAGCTATAGGCATGACATATGGACTATATGGCCCGATATATGCCCATCTCTATAACAAAATTATGGTAACTTCTTGATTGGATTGATTTTGTGGAGATAGAAAATTCGGTAAAAATAAATATTAATCCCTCATAGTTGAGTTGCTAGTCCTCGTCCAAACTCAATAACCCGATCCAATCCGAACATAAATTGTCCCTCAATTCGATCCAATTTGACTAATTTATTATATTTTATAGTGATATCAAGTTTTTTTTTTCTTTACACAATTTGAGATAGCTTTTTTAGCTGATATGAAAACTAATTCAAACTCGACCTGTTGACTTAAACTAATCAGCGTACTCATAATCAGTTATGATGTAAGATAAATATAAATTGAAATAAAACAAAGGCAATCTATATATTAACTGCATAATTTTTTTTCAACTTTTAGGTCCTTTACCTATCGAAAACCAAAGCCCCATTCTTACATTTCCACCCCATCTATATTCTATACTCTTTTCTAAAATCCAGTAACTACCCATTTTACTTATTATTTAAAAAAATTTAGTTATCTACTTCATAATACATTATCTAATAACATGTTCTAAAAACCCCAATATACGGAGTACACAATAAGAAATATCCCATAAATTAACATGAATATACGTAGTATTTTAGTAGTCTTAAATGAGAAATAGAGAAGCATCACGATGGGCTGATTATAGGGCCAAAATAGGGCTAGTCTAAAATCAGCTGTTTGATTTATTTAATTAATGCAACACAAATAATCCAAAATGTAGGTGATTTTCCGGGATCACGTGAGCGAAGAGAATACGGGTTGGTATGAAAGTTAACGGCTGAAGTTGATGAATTGAGGGAATCCAAACACGTGGTTAGCCTAAGTCCTTTGCAAATGCTGTTATAGTGTCTACTACTGTTCAATGTCCTTGTCCTTACTTTTTCCTTACGTTCTATCACTATCCAAACTTAATGGATGCAATTATCTTTAAATTAAGTCAATAGACTTTAATTACCCTTAATATCAGATAACTATTACACTTTATTCACTTATACAATTTAGAATAGATGTCAAATAACCAGAAATCGATTTTGGCACTTTTTTTTTTTTTTTTTAGGTTGCCCACCCGTATCACCGCAGCTTAGCTCCGACTACATCCAGATTCGACTCGAATAGCACACCTAGCTTATGGCGGGTGAGTCTCCTAACAAGAGTTTCTAAATACGGTGAGGCTCAAATCCAAGATCTCCTTTAAAGGACATCAAGTTGCTTACCACTTGAGCCAACTCTTATTAATGATTTTTACATATCTATTTGTGAGAAAAATATCATAAAATTTATTCAAATTTTGAGTGTCAAATCATTTTCCCACTACTCTATTCGATTAAATAATTGAAGGAAGGTAACCCTTTTTTTTTTTTTTTTTTTTGTGGTACGGGGTTACCTCAAATTTTAGTGTTTAGGTTATTAGTTACCTCAAAGTAGTTTAAATTATAGAAATATACAAGTAGAGGCGGACCTATTAAGGGACCTGTGTGATATCGATCCTACCAAGTAAAGGTGTAAATTTATAAATTAAATACAATTTTAATGCATTTAATAACATCAAATTAGCTTTGTTATAATGGTAATTCATAGAGTTTGTGGTAAAAATCATTCAAGTCTTCGTACACGCGTTTATATTCTACAATAGAGTAATAGAATTACTTTTGTATTTACTCGGTAGTCATACATTGTACACTAATAATTTTGGAATTTACAGAACTCTACCATACAACTGGCAACTAAAAGCTACAAGAGGCAAATTATCTACTCATAGCAAATTTTACGAGACACATAATCAGATAGACGAAGTACAATAAATAAAATGAACACATTTATAAATGTATGAATTCCACCTATTGATCCACGACAATTTCCAGTAAAAGTGGCAAGACATTCTACTAAGCTCCATATGTAACTGATATAGCCCTGTAACGTTCTTGTAGGTAGTCATTGAAGCGGATCGGGGGAAATCTGTCGTTTACAAAGGAAGAAATGCATCTACTTAAGCAATACATCATGTAAATGTTATGTTGAGTACACTAACAATTAAGCTTTCACAATGTTTTTTCCAATATATGTTGATAACAGCTCTAATTAATTAATCTATGTTTAATGGCTTATTTGCTTATGCATTGTTAAAATATGACAGTATGGAAACTTAAATGAAAGACTGGATGGTATATAAAATAGTAATAATGAAGAATTGAAGATCAGACTAAAGAATGAAGCCAGAAATTTTGTTTACCGTACCTGGGAGGATTAGACTCACTGCAGCAACTTTCTAAGCACTCCACGAAAAAATCGTGGCGAGGATTAATGAACATAGCTGCCTGTACACCATATTAGTTTTTTGTTACATAAAGTGTTGCTGATATTATTATAACATATACTTGTACAAATGATAACTGCAAGTATGATATCAGAAAAAATGCAGGTATTTTTGTAGTATAAATCTTCAGTTTATATCCGTATTCAAATTAATTCACAAGACAGCCTACACGAGCAACAGAGTAAAATTTCTGTAAAATATATTGCTTGTTTGTACTTTTTAGAACATCACCTACTAAAATAGCACATAATTCTTAGCTTGGTATGTATAACTAGTGGTCAAATAAGCCAAGAATATTTCTGTAAATCAACTTTCTTGACAAATTTGAGAGCTACTAAAACATTCTGAGCTTACTAAGGTTGCATCTACACAATAATACTCGGTATAAGATTGGCAAGAGGGAGCCGATGCTACAAAAACAACAACAACAACAACAAAGCCTTAGTCCCAAAATGAGGGGAGCCTATGCGACAATCATCTTTATACATGTTATACACATGCAAGTGCACAACAGAAGGGGTAAAACAGTACTGCATATGGGTGCCTATTGGACTTGGAGAGTTAATTACGTAGTAGATAAACTGCAAGGAAAAGGAGCAAAGGAGAGGAGAAAAATTACTTACAGAATATCGTTCACGTCCCTTTGGCACTACTCTATGCAATGTTGACCTGTTTTCAGATAACACAGAACAGGTAATAAGTAAAAAAAGCAAAATAGCGGACAATGATACAAAATGGATCACTAGCTAACATCCCTATAACATAATGAAGCAATGGAAGTGTGTGGGTGCGCACTTGTGCGTGTGAATGAGCAAATGCCAGCTAAATCTAAAGGTTTGATAACTGGTCCTGATAAGAACAGAATGTTTAATCATGCAATCTATTTGACAAACACCATTAAAATTTACCTAAATACACCATTTGTCCACCTCTCTGTCATATCTCCAATGTTGACAATTAATGCCCTGCAAAAGCATAATACACAAAATCTCATAGGTACGGAGTAATGTTCATCTATATACAGCTTCACCCAACTGACTAATTTCGGTATTTTTGCCACTCTACACCGAAAACTCACCCCTCAACATGTGGAACATTCTCCCAAATCTGTGGTTGACGATCTTTTTCCCGACAAACCTAAGTAAACATAAAAGCATGTGATTTCATCATTAAGCAATCATCAAATAATTTTTTTTATTAGACTAACTTAGACATACCTGTAATCCAGGAACACCATCAGTGGCCAAGAGAGTAATCATTCCATAATCAGAGTGAGCAGAAGCCCCTAAAACTTCGTCATTGTGGCAACTGGGGTCACCTGGTAGCAATATATATACAAAAAAGAGAAGTATTAAGATGGACGAACTGAACTTTCTGATGCCTGTTTCAGGAATAATCAAGTCGAGCAAATTACAGAATGTTCAGTCCAACTAGGAATAAAATAATGTGAAGTATTGGAAATTAAGTTGAGAAATAGTATCGATATTTCACTAGACCTTCTGGATAATGTAAGAGGCGAAGTTTAGGCATTGGTGGATCCAAAGCTCCTACATTCTCAAAATAGTTCTCATCGAGGTTCAATGCCAATGCAAGGAGTGACAGTAAACGTTTTCCTGCACTCCTGAGGTACCACATTTAAGTGTTACATAGAGCAATAGAAGCCATCAACATAATAGACTGATACACCAGATCCTTTTTATTCATCAACAAACCATATTGTGTATTAGACCGACTTATTTTTTCAAGGAACTTCCTCCACTACAACCTTAATGGAGTATGCAACAACTACAGGATGTAAAGGTGAAACAATGAGCACAATAGCCAATACATGGTAAAGCAACACGATTGAAATTCATAATTGTCCTTAACAGCGACAATTCTAGTTAAAATGGAGTTATACAAGAACAATCATAGAAACTAACAAGATCAGACAATCTAAAACTGTCAGTAGAGTAATGTCCTTCAACAAACCACAAATATGGACAATGCATATATGCACATGATGAGAATCATGAGATTGTTGAACTTACGTAACTTGTGTATGGTATGCTTCCATAGTTGGTCTCCAATTCGGAAGAAGCTCTGGTATGTCACAAACAGTAGATAAGGTTTAATTAAGCAGGGGAAAAAAAGGTGTTAGCATTAACATCATTCCTTTAAGGCATGAACAAATTAATGTAGAGCCCAAACTAACCAACCAAGAACCAACCAGATAACAAGCTTACCTTCAGAAGGCCATCGGTTCAAATTGTAAATTTCATCATGAATCGGGCCAATGTAGAAAGACTCCTTTGGGTCACCTGCAGTCGAATAAGGTAAGTTAATAAGACTTCAAAATTCCTTTGTAACATAGAAAAAAGGTGGTTTGACAATTAAAAGAGAAAATAGTTAAGATCATGGATCAACAGTACAGAACCTTTAGTGTTTAAAGAAGTATCCAACTTCTCAGAATATAATGCAGTATATCCACTGAATTCCTGCTTTTCAAGTTTCATTTTTTCTTCCTCCGGAAATGAGAAGAATTTCTTACTCTCTTCAAACAATCTCTCGAACAGAGCTTTGTCCACTCCATGATTCACAACGTAGAAGAAACCGACTTCAATGCATGTCTAAACCACAAAACGTAGCAAAGTTAGCAAGAATGAATGTATCACCCCAAGGACATGCTTGGATTAGGGGTACTTTAAAGGGGTAATAAAAGTCAAGTTAGGAAAAACATCAGTAATTAGAGGTGGTGTTGTAGGGAGATAAGGTGTTTATGAATGAAATAAGGTATTTGTGACATGAGGAAAAGAAAGAGGTTGAAGAATCATTATCCTCATAATGAGGATAATAGTTACATACCCATTCTCCCCCTAGTGTAACCATAACCTCCAAAATGAGGGTAATAGACCTAATGGTTCCCCTATCTTCACCTATCACCATTACATAAAATTCCTTGTAATCACTCCATCACTATCTCCTCCTCCCTTATATTTACATTCATTTTTTGGTTGGATTTTATTACCTAACACATTACCGTCAATCCAAGCATGCCATAAATGTGACATTTCTATTAACCTCACAAATGGGTCATTTCGGGTCAACTAACATTCAGGTTGTGTGCGGGTCGGGTCGAGTACGGGTTTCAAGTCTGCCTCGGGTCGGGTTAATTTTGATCAAACTATTTTCGGATCGAGTATGTTCGGGTCATAATCGGGTTGGGTCAAAATTGGGTCAAGTCATCTTTGTGTTCTATTTATGGATCAAGCTTAAATAAAAAAAAAAAAAAATTTGTTATTGTTATAATAAGAACTAACAATTTTTTTCAAAAAAAAAAACTAACAATTCAATTTATGAGCTTAGATACAGTTGGAGATGAACAAATTGAGTCATTTTTGGCATTAGATATTTTTAGTTCAATTATAAGGTAATTTTAGTTCGGGACATTTTGGGTGTTGGGTTTGTTCTAGTTAAACACTTCGAATCAACTTTAGATCGAGTCAGTTTCGGATTGAGTCATTTTGGGTATCGGGTCAACTCGGATCGGATCATACGGGTTTAGGTCGATGATTTCGGGTCATGGGTCTGGTCAAGGTCTGAATTGCCAGGCCAACTTTAGAAAATTCTTATGTCATGAGAAAAATCAACACAGTACAGCTTTATCATGATTAAATATCAGTAATGTAGAAAGTTGAGTCCACGACCATATTTCTACACTGCTAATTAAGAAACCATGTAGTTTAACAAAATAAGGCTTAAACAAATGGTTAAAGCCCAAAAGATTAATTTATACTGGTACTTCGTATGTTCTATCACATGCGTTTCTGAGTAGCTCAAATATATAGAGGGACAGAGCATCATATAATCCGTATTATATAGGATTTGTAATGCAAATCATGCTCCCCCTTATATTATCTACTAATTGTAAAAATATCTACTTCAGTTGTAATGATTTAAATTCATATACTCCGGGATATGGATGATGTTAAACTGAAAGTCATATTGACGAACTAAAATTATATTGGTAGTTTAAATTACATTATCAACGTGATAACTAATTCGAGAACATAAGGAGTACAGCAAGTAGCAAACCTGACGAAGTGTAGCAGCTGTAGAAATTCGATCAGGTGCCGCTAAATCGATGACAGGAAGTTTTGCAATCAAATATTCTTGTCCCATATATTTTTTTTCTTCTCTGATCTCCTCTGCTTTGCTCCGCTCTTGTCTCTTTATTACTCGTATTTAGATTTGAGGTGTTTCAGTTACAACAATAAGATAAACACAAATACAAGTAGTTGATAAGATTTGTAGGCATCTAAGCAAAGAAGTTTTGGTAGGTTGATATCATTTGCACTTTATCTACAATTTAGCACACGATCAATGATATAGGTGGGGGCAACTATCATACATTTATGGAACATTTATTATATTAGGAGTAACTATGAGGGTTAGTTAGTAATGCAATACTCCTCCGTCTTTTAATTATATGCCTATTTCTTTATTACTCAGATAACAGAGAGAAATAAATACAAAGTATATAATTAAGGGACGGAGGAATACTATTAATTGCTTTGTTATTTCTGTAAACTTTTTTCATGCACTCTTCACCTCTTTTGTAACCAATCATTGAATGTGGGTCTTAAAAAACAAAAATTTGACAGTAATGGCACCAAAAGTCTCCCAAAAGTCGAAAATTAAAAGATATTTGTTAACCAAAAAAAAAAATATTAACAGATAATATAAACCGATTTTAGGTTTACAAAAGTCTCAGTAAATATATATTTTCTAACCCTAATGCTAACAAACTACGGAGTACAAACTTTAGGTTGTATTTAGTTCTTCTTATAGTTCAAACTATATAATAATCAGAGAATAAGTTCAGAGTAAATCAACAGATCAATGGATGGAATTCCTTTCATAATCCGTTCACACTACACAAAACATTTTTTGGATTTACTTAAACTTTACCTTCAGATTCATATGAATCTAAAAGAGAGCAAAGTCATCCAGCAGATTTTACATTTTTACGAGATACAATAATATGAGTACATTTATAAATGTATGAATTCCAAGTTCGTTCCATCTTTCACCTATTGATCCACACATATATCATTATAATTGGTAATGTCATACTGTATTACTGTGTATGACCGTACTTGCACTTCCCAAAATGGCTAACATTTGCTCTTTAAGGTACGAGTACGTAAGTGATTGCCAAGGGGCTCCTAGCTAAGCTCCATATGTAACCCTATAACGTTCTTGGAGGTGGTCACTGTAGCAAATGGGGGGAAATCTGCCAATAAAAAGGGTAACAGTAAAGTCATAATCCGCTCTAAGATATATAAAATATTACATCAGGTTAAAGACATCTACGATGGAAGGAAGAAAATGCATCTATTTTATCAACACATGTAACTGTAATGCCATGGGCAAAACTGCACAAGTGAGCAAGCATGATGGGTGTTCAACCTCGACGATATGCTGATAACAACTGTTCTTGATCTATGTTAATGCATATGCTTATAATAGGTGGAGCTGAAGTATGAAAACTTTTACAGAATACTGCTGATTTGTAAATTAGTCAAAATGAAGATCAGACTAGGAATAAAGCCGTAGTTTTGTTTACCTGGGAGGATTTGACTCACTGCAGCAGGTTTCTAAGCACTCCACTGAAAAATCGTGTGGAGGATCAAGGAACAAAGCTGCCTGCACAAGTTAGCAATACTAGTATCGTTACTTTAGGTACTGTTGATATTAGATTAACAATTCAAACAAAAGATGCAAGTATAATATCATAGGAAATGCAGCTATTTAAGTCCTCAGTAAATGCTGAGGCTCTTGCTCTGATGTTCTCAAATTCCAGTGACAAAATATAGGTATTTGATTTAATTTACAAGACAGCTTTACAATGACAACATTATTGTAAAGATCTCACTCAACATTGTTGTATGTAATTTAAGTAGCTGAAAAGCCTGAAGATATTTCACCAAATAAAACAGCACATAAGTCTTAGCTTAGACGCTTAGTAATGTAGTCAAATACACCAAGAACGTTTCTGTGTTTCATAAAAACAAGAAAACATCAATTTTCTGGACAAATTTGAGAAATTCTAAAACATTCTAGTCTTATCAAGTTAACATCTAAATAATATAATAAGACTGGCAAGTGGAGATTGATGCTATTATAAACTTCAAACATGGCATACACATGCAAGTGCACAACAGCAAAAGGTAAACAGAACTGCATATGATGAATGCCTGCTGAACTAGGAGGGTTAACTAGAAAAACTGCAAGGAAAAGGAGGAAAAGAGGGGAAAGATTATTTACAGAATATCGTTCTCGTCCCTTTGGCACCACTCTATGCAATGTTGACCTGTCATCATATAACACAAAACAGGTAAGGAAATAGGAAAGGGTACAATGCAAAAGGGATTGCATCCCAAATCTTGTATTGTTGTGTACTTGTGTATCACGATATCACCCACTGAGATGGTGAGACCTTGCTAGCTGCATCCCTATAGCATAATGAAGCAGTGACTGTGTGTGTGTGTGTGTGAGAGAGAGAGAGAGAGAGAGAATGAAGAAATGAAAGGTTTGATAACTGATCCTGGTAAGAACAGAATGAATATTTAATCATGCCAGTTCTTTGACAAATACCATTAAACTGTAGTACTTACCTAAACAAACCATTTGTCCATCTCTCCATAATGTCACCAATGTTGACAATTATTGCCCTGCAAAAACATAATACTATTACTCAGAATTTCTAAGTCATCACCAATCATATGCAAAAAATTGAGAAATCAGCAGGGAAGGGGGCAGCAGCAAGCCCTGAATAGTAATACATGGTCTATGTTGCCTGAAATATGTCTTGAGTTTAACATGTAAAGAAGAAAAATAAAATAGAGAAAATGGAAAATCTTCATTGTTCTTGGCTCTTCTGAATACATGTGTAGCTAGGAAGGCAACCTTTAGACCGTTAGATATGGTAAAGAGAAGTCGAGAAAACATTTAAGAGCTACAAGCCCTACAATTGTGAAGCTTTCTGGAGTAATGAATTTTTCTGCATAGTACTTCTACATTATCATTTTCCAAATAAAGTCTATGAGCAACATAAATGATAAATCTCACAGCTAAGCAACAAGGGTAATGTTCATTTAAATGCAGCTTCATCCAACTGACTAAATTCGGCATTTATGCCACATTACACTGAAAACTCACCCCTCAACATGAGGAACATTCTCCCAAATCTGTGGCTGACGATCTCTTTCCCTACAGACCTAAGAAAACAAAATAGAATGTGTTTTTCATCATTGAGCAACTATCAAATAATTTTAATTTTTTGACTAATTTAGACATACCTGTAATCCAGGAACACCATCAGTGGCCAACAGAGTGATCATACCATAATCAGAGTGAGCAGAAGCCCCTAAAACTTCATCATTGTGGCAACTGTGGTCACCTGATAGTAAAATACATATAAGAAAAGAAGTATTAAGATGGACTTCCTGAAATTAAGTCAGGATTCAAGTTGAACAAATTACAGCATGTTCAGTCCCACAAGGATACATATATAAATAGGAAATACTGGGAAGGATAGGAAACCAAGTTGAGAAATAGTTTTGATACGGTAAATACATATATTTCACCAGACCTTCTGGATAATGTAAGAGGCGAAGAACAGGCATTGGTGGATCCAGAGCTCCTACATTCTCAAAAAACTTTTCATCAAGGTTCAATGCCAGCGCAAGAAGTGATAATAAACTTTTTCCTGCACTCCTGAGGCACCACACATATAAGCATTATATTGGATTTTGGAGGCCATAAACTGAAATACACTAATACATCAGATACATATAATTCATCAGCAATCCACCCTGACTCCCTTTAGTTGCCAGGACATATTGTGTATGCCATCAGATTTAGACTGACTTGATCTTTGTCCACTACAACCTTAATAAAGTATGAAACTGCAGGGTCTAAGGTAAGATATAACTTTCCTTGACATCGCCATTTCCAGTTAAAATTAGAAACTAACAAGATCAGACCACCTAAAACTGACAGTAGAGTATGTCCCTCAACAAACCACAAGGCTGGACAATGCATATATTGGACATGATCAAGTTGTAAAACTTACAGAATTTGTCTATGGTATGCTTCCATAGTTGGTCTCCAATTTGGAAGAAGCTCTGGTATGACACAATCAGCACACTTTAAAATTAGTTTCTGAATTATGATAAAGTTTTATTATACAATATTATGTGCAACTTTGGGGTATTATTTGTGAGATATAAAATATTTCAAAGTTCCACATAACATTTAACGGAGGTAATATAAAATTTGAGCTTTAACAACAAGCTTACCTTGAGAAGGCCACTGGTTCAAATTGCGGATTTCATCATGAAGCGGGCCAATGTAGAAAGACTCCTTTGGGTCACCTGCAATCAAAAATTAAAAATATCAAATAAAATAAGTTGCTAAGTCTTCAAACTTCCTTGCACTTTTGTACACAAAATAAGGTGATTTGACAATTAAAAGAACAAATAGATAAGATGATGGATCAACAAAACCTTTGGTTTTTAAAGAAGTATCCAACTTCTCAGAATATAAAGCTGTATATCCCCTGAATTCCTTCCTATCAAGCTTCATTTTTTCTTCCTCGGGAAGTGAAAAGAATTTCTTACTCTCCTCAAACAATCTCTCAAATAGAGCTTTGTCCACTCCATGATTCACAATGTAGAAGAAACCGACTTCGATGCATGTCTAAACCACCCAAATGTAGCAAGTTAGCAACACAAAATGTATTTCCCTGAATGGCATTTCTACAAGAATTGCAACTCTAGATAATTCATTGTTCTGTGTCATGAGATCAATTATTGTCCTCTTAAACAAATTGGTCCATTCTATCTGTCACCTAATACTCTAGAATGATTAAGAAAAAAAAAAATCTCCATTCGTCCGAGCAAATTTTTTAGAGAGATTCTTATATACACCCAGATGTAACATCTTGCTCATTTTGATGATTAAGGTTCATTTAATCAACAAACGTGAAAAAAAAAAATAACATTGGTATGTAATGTGTTCTAACTCACCGGTCAGTTAAGTTATGATATTGCGAGTTCAAATTACATTATTGACGTGACAATTAATTCGAAAACATAAAATAGTACATAAACATATATAGAAAGAATGAAAGAAAGAAGTTAAGCAGGAAACCTGACGAAGTGTAGCAGCGGTAGAAATTCGATCAGTTGCCGATAAATCGATGATGGGAAGATTTGCAATTAAGTTAACTTCTCCCATAATTTTTCAACAAGTCTATTTTCTGCTCCACTGTTGCTTCTTCAACCAATTCACTTCCTCTCTCCTTTCTAAAATCTTCGGATATTACAAGCACTTATTTTTATCCTAAGTTTTTTTTTTTTTTTTTTTTTGAGGGGGTATTATTATTATTATTATTATTATTATTTTTTTTTTTTTTGGTTTTGGTTTAAGGTGTTTTGGTTACAACGAAAGCAGGTGAAATTTGTCGGCAATAATTCAAACTTCAAAGAGGAATAGGTAAGTTGATAATTGAGTTATTTTAGGCTTTTAGCACACAATCAATGAATTAGGTGGGTATCTGTATCTCTATCATAAATTAATTTATTCAAAATTTTTAACGGGTGGAATTGGATCTATACAATATTGTTAATTTTAATAGGAAAAAAATATATGCAGCCCTTAAGGTTGCATATAAAAACCTAAAAGAAGAATTGACAATAAATATAGCATTACTTATTTTAATATTACTTTTTTTGTTTTGTAATAATCGTATCACACTTTGACTTTTGCATTATTTATATTCTTAAATTGACTATATTTTTTTTAATCATTATATAAAAAATGTAAAGTGCTTTTTTATTAGTTTTTGAGTATATTTTCATGGGTAATGTTATATGTAGCCCTAAAGGCTATATATAAGCATTAAATATACTCTTGGAATTGTATAAAATTAGGAATTCACGACAAAAACACGCGTAAATGTTATTAGTGTTTATATTTTGATGATTTCTTAACTTTTTGCGATTTTCAAGTGCAAATTTAATGCTTAAATGTAGCCCTAAGGGCTATGTATAATATTTTCCTATTTTCATTACTACATCTGTTTTGCATTACTTGCAACAAAGGAATATTTTATGTCTCATAAATAATACCCTTTTGTTGCGAGTAATGCGAAATGGATCGGAGGTAGTATATACTTCTTAGAACATATATTTACATAGACTACCTCTGCTTCATATTATTTGCACTGATTAAACTTTTTCTATTCAAACTTTATGTCAAATCGTTGCAAATAATACGAAACGGATGTAGTATTAATGTTTAAAATTGCGCATTAACACGTGTGTCGTTCATAGTATTGCAATTATTATAAAACAGAGAAAGTAGATTAATGCTTTATTATGATGGATGAAAAAAATATATGGTAAATTAAACAAGTCACTTGAAAGATGTTAAATTAAATGGTGGATGGTTCATAAAATCATACTCCCTCCGTGTTTTAATAAGTGTTACAATTTGTCTTTTTTCACTATTCAAATAATGATTTTGACTTGATTAATTTACTAATATATATATATATATAAAAAAAAAAAAACATATGTTATTGTATAATAAATTGTTGGATTCGTTATAATGTATACTTTCATAATATCAAATTTTCTATGATTTTACTAACATATAATTAGATAAATATATGGTCATAAATCGTGCCTCGGCATGCATTTTTAGTCAAACTGTAACACTTATTAAAACACGGAGGGAGTAAACATATACTTTGTAGGAAGTATATACCATTCCAATTGACACTAATTCTTTAACGAACATAAACAACTTTAGTCAAATCCAAAATTCTTGACAAATGAAACTAGGCTTCAATTCCCAAGCTTAAACTTTAAAAAGAAGTGTGTTCTTCCCAAATCACGTTTGAGACGTGCATTAGCATGTCAGGTTTTACATCAAACAAACAAAAAATCATCGAAATTAAAGAGACAAAGCTATTTAACACCCTTTTCAAAGAGTTTTCATTCATCACATGATAATAATCTATCCTTTGTAAATTCTAAGGCTTTATTTATTTTACATGATATATTCCATCTTATTATTTACTCCGTGCGTGTAACTTCAAGCTTCAAATGTGCCCTTGAAGCGTTCTAGAAGGTAATCAATATAGCGAAATGGAGGAAATCTGTCATTGAGGAAAGAAGAAGGTTAATTAGTCGATTTCATGAAAAAAAAAAAAAAAAAGCTGATGCACATTAAGGGATCAAGTGTTTTATGATTCATGAAATAAGTACGATTAACTGAAAAATTAAAGCAGAGAAAAAAAAAGGTTGAAATTAACCTTGGAGGATTTGAGTCATTGCAACAAGTTTCTAAACACTTCACTATAAGATCGTGCGATGGATCAAGATAAAAAGCCACCTGCATTACATTTTTAGTCTTTGTCAAGCAACACATACTTATACTACGTATTTCAAAAGGATTAATATGTAGAGCTTGAACATTATACTTGTATGTATAAGTACCTTTTTTTTTTGTGACATATAGTTTTTAAGGGATATAGTAAATTGAACTATTAGAATAAGAGTAGGTAAAAATGATTGAAGAATAGAAGAGCATTGAAGCAAAAAGAATACAAAGTAACACATACAGAGTAACGTTCTTGTCCCGTTGGCACCACTCTATGCAATGTCGACCTGCAACCATCAAACATGACAATATGTATAAGGAGAAAACTTAAGTTGGCATGAAATTTAATCCTGGATAGTAGGAAATCCATAGTATATGCCGCAATTTGGATTGATTTGATCGATTTGATCCAAGTATTTGATACAATACTACTCGTATCAAATTATCAGTCAATATCCACGGGCAACAACAACAAAAGTGTCATGTAATTATGTAAATGATGGTTTGGTAATCGACAAAATAATATAATGTCCTTTACCTAAATACATTATTGGTCCACCTCTCAGTAAGGTCACCAATGTTGACAACTAAAGCCCTGCAAATGTATCAAACTTGTCAAAATTCAAGACCTAACTCAATATTAATTTGCATCCACAATTTAGGAATTGTAGTTTCATGACTTTAGCGTAAGATTTACCCCTCAATATGACGAACATCCTCCCAAATACGAGGTTGACGATCTTTTTCCCGGCAAACCTTAGGTAATAAATAAACATGCATGATCGATAATCAGTTGCAACTTCACATAATAATATGATGGTTTATCTAAGGAAAAATTCATGTAACTTAATGTACATAACAATAAGCAAATATACTACGCGGTATGTACTTGTATCATGTATACCTGCAGTCCAGGAACACCATCAGTCGCTAACAATGTAATCATTCCATAATCACAGTGAGCAGAAGCACCTAAAACTTCATCAGTATAATAACTGAGGTCCCCTGAAATTGTAAAATCAGAGAAAAGTAATATTATGATGAGTATTGATACAAATTATCTGTGTTAGACCTTGAATTATCATATCACACGACACACACGTATATTTTTTTTTTGAAGAAACACACACGTATATATAATTGGAAGTACCTGGGTAACGTAAGAGGCGAATGAAAGGCATAGGTGGATCCAGAGCTCCAATGTCCTCAAAATAGTTCTCACTTAGGTTTAAGGCCAGAGCAAGAAGTGAATATAATCTTTTACCAGCAGTCCTGAGGCCACACCATGATGGTACGCATTATCAGTACTGTTACATATATACGAGTAGATACTATAAACAAGAAAACGTATCTGATATGCAACTAATAAGGGGTGAAATGTCCAAATTTACTCTGATAAGTACATTATAAATAGACTTTTGCTAAGGATATTGTTGACATTTCTCCCCTTATTAATTTCCGTTATGTATATGCTCTAGGAAAGCAAATAAATAAACAAGAATAATACTTGTATCATATAGCAACGTACAAAATTTTATCATGGTAAGCTTCCACGGTTGGTCTCCAGTTTGGAAGAAGCTCTGAAACACCATTAGATAATAGATGAATTAGTTGTCACTTTTAATTTTAATTATTAATTCATTTTTTTCCACCATTGGAACATGGGATAATATAATTGCCCTAATCAATCTCACAACATTATTGTAAAACCGGATTGTACAAAGATTTGTTAACTACTCATATACTCGTAATAGTGACAACTAAAGTCAAATGAAGATGATCCGTAAGCACCTATATCAGCTTATTTTTTGATGCAAAAACTTATTAAAGTGCGTTACCTTCAGAAGGCCATTGGTTCAAATCACTATCTTTATCATGAAACGGGCCAATGTCCATAAATTCCTTTGAGTCACCTATTGCATTTATTATACAAATCAAGGTAAGAATATATTGTACTATAACACAAAAATTATTGGGTTATACTTTATCATATTACTCCCTCTGTTGCAACATATTTCAAACAATGAAAAATAAAGAGCTAATTTAACCTCGAATATACTCTATATATGACAATTAAGCAAAATTATACCTTTGGTAGCACTGGCGGTATCCAATTTCTCATGATATAAAGGCGTATACCCACAAATTCCCTTGCGAGCCACTCTCATTTTATCCTCCAAAGGAAGTGTAAAGAACTTCTGACTTTCCTCAAATAATTTCTTAAACATTTCTTTGTCCACTCCATGGTTCACAATGTAGAAAAAACCAAAGTCGATACATGCCTACAAAATTAATAAAACCAATTTCAACTACCAAAGTATTATAATGTTAGTCTAGCAAAAATTAGGCGAAGTGAACACATAGACTGCTATAGTCGTAGTAATAAGTAAAATAAGCATGGATCGAACCTGGCGAAGTGTTGCAGCAGTAGAGTTAAGATCAGGCGACAATAAGTCGATGATAGGAAGATTAGCAATAGCAATACTCTCTTCTTCCATCTTCCTAAAGCTCTACTTTTTACACACACAAAAGCTAATAATTAAGGTAGCTTCACTCATATTTTCCATGTTTTGATATAATAAAAGTAGTTGGATTATTATATCTGACTTTACCTGTTTACCGTTGTCAGTTTGTGTCACTTTTATGGAGTTGTTGACAGGCAACAACTCCTTCTCTAGACATATATTTGTTGTATATAGTGTGTTTACAGTCATTGCCATTTATTAATTATCAATAAAATTTCTAGATATAATGTTAATTAATATATACTGTTATACTGTACTTATAAATCAATTATTTAGAGTAAGACAATTTTGTTTCAATTGTGTATAGCTCTAATAATTTGATGTGGATTAGCTAGAATAACCCATAAATTGTAGTATAATAAATGAGACAGAAGAGTAGTTGAGATTGCTGAATATAAATGAAATCATAAACAGATTTTTTAGTATTTGGCACCTTGGCGTTTTGGCCTGGGGTCATTACATGAAATTGACAGTTATACGTTTGATTCATGACTAGATCTAATCTTAATTATATACTCAGTATTATTTTGGGTTTTTCTACGCAGTACTCCTATGGTATTTACATTTTCAAATTATGCCCATTCATTTTCAAAATTTCACGTTGTAACCTACAACCCCAAGGTATGTTTAGTGTGTACGATAAAATATCCCCCCCAAAAGAACAGTACTCTTCCCTCCATAAATAACCATTTTATTCTCTGTTTTTTGGCTTAGGGTTTATTTTATTTTTTGGATTCTCCACATAGCAACCTCGTTCTCCATCATTCACCATGTCAAGTTTTCCATCACATCGATCTCAAACTAAAGGTACCTTGGCAAGCCGCGCGCGTGGGATTTTGACAATGGGTGGGCACAGCTTAGAAAAGTGAATATCTTAGGGGTATTGTATAGAAAAACCCTATAAATTTTTTCATATTGCTATTCACTACATTTTATGCTAAAATTTATAATTTATACGGTAACACTATAATAAGTCTATGATTAAGCCTGAAATAGGTGTATAAAGAGTAAAATTCAATCAATTATAATGAATGAAAGTAATCCAAAGAACTTGGTAAAGGATCAAGACTGTCAAAAACATCAATTGGAAAATCATCAAAGAAACCATCTGGGTGGTTGGGTAGACTTTGCACTGCATCTCTTTGCGCAGCAGGCACAATACTCTTGCTGCAGCTTCCCTCTATTGATCCTCCGAAAAACGGCATCCCAAAATCACAAGGCAATGACTGACAGAAGCTTGTTGGTTCAGTAAACACTAGTTCAAAATCCTTCATGAGATGATCATGTAGAAAAGGAAGAGGGTATGACAATGTACTCCATGATGACTCGCCGACTGGTGCAGGATTAGGCTGCTGGGGAAACCAAGATGTCTCTGACAGAGTGGACTCTGCTGAAGGGTTGGTGCTTATTATCAGTGGACCACTGCTTACTGTATCTGGTGCTGGTAATGAGGTTATTGGTTCGATATCTAAAGGCCGGGATGAGGAACCAAGAAGGTCGTAATTTGAAGATGGATGTGAACCCACTAGAATCATGGAAGTGCAGCTCTCAGAAACCTGAAGTACGTGTTAGTGTATGTAATGTGTTAGACTGTTAGCATCATAGTTAATGATACTGTATACCTACTTAGTATTCCATAATAACATCAGCCATTGATTACATATTTAAAGATAACAAAAGAAGACGAGTAGCACAAAATATGGCCTAAATCACTCAAAATGTAATGGAATGTATGAGTTTTAGTAGTAGCACAAAATGATGCTAATATGTACTATATTCGTCTTATTAGTTTAAGATTGTTGAGATTAAATTGTATCCTACATTAAGAACGGAGAGAGTACAAGATACAACACATGTAATACCATGATAGTATCAACAGAAAATTAGAGCTTGTAGATAAGATTTCAAACCAAAAATCCTAACAGACAACCCAATAAAAGCAGTTAACATTTTATTGCAACTTCTAATAATCCTTGAGCACTAGTGCTAACTTGTAATCATCCTTAAACCGTAAGTTGAAAATTAACAAAGATACTCTTACTGCATATATACAATTTATGATCAAAGCAATTATCTATAGAGAGTATTAATTACCTCCAAGTTCGATGATGGAAGTTGAGGAGTTGGCACGGTTGATTTCTGTTTGCTCTGATCTTGGTAAAGGCACTTCTTGTTGGGTTGTAAAGAGGAATTCAAGGTTCTTGCTAATCTTTTCTTCCTCGAACTCCAGAAATTCTTGACATCATTATCAGTTCTTCCTGTCAAATGTGAAGCAATTGTTGCCCATTTATTCCCAAGTCTTGCTTGTAATTCCACCACAATTCTCTCCTCCTCGGCTGAAAACTTGCAACCTCTTTACCCAACAAAGCAGATGAAACAAAAAAAATAACACCCAAAATATTTAAAAGCATGTCAAAATTTAAAGATTACTAAATGAAAAATCAAATGTAAAATGTTCAAGCTACTAAAAACTTAAAATGGTTCTCTACAAACAATATGTATCTTCAAAATTTATACAATGGCTGCCTTTTACCTTTGCAAATTGCGAATATTAAGATTGTGGTTGCTTTGGCTACAATGGTTGTTTTTAAGAGACATTAATCAAACACTACACATCATAGACATATTTTTAATAGTTCATACATGATGAGATGCCTATTTTTCGAATCCTCTACTTTTCAAGTAATTTATCCTACATTGATCTCTTCTAGAAGTACTTAATCATGCAATACTATCGAGATTACCATACATTATTGCTCTTCAATCATGCAATACTATAAGGAGTAACTCACACTTTAAGATTGGGTCGGAGTTTGTTGACCCAACGAAGACGACAAGATTTGCCAGTTCGTGGAAGAAGGCCCTTGGATTGAATGGAGCTCCAGTCTCTAGGTCCATTTTTGTTGATGAAGTCGATAAGAACTTCATCTTCTTCAGCAGACCATGGACCCTTCCTAATATTTGACTGATCCTTAAAACCTTTCTTTTTCATCATAAATTCATATGAAGTTTAGATGTTTTTTGTTTAGGAATGGAAGTAGCCCTTGCTTGCTTATTCTTTTGTACGACAGATTACTTTTTTGATTTTCAAAAGTGGCGGTTAAAACGGTTAATGGCTTAGTGACCACACTCCACTAAGCAACCACGTTTATTTCTGTCTACCATTACGCTAAATTCCTGTATAATGTAAGATAATACCCTTCCATTTTCTTTTAATTTCTTGCCTTATGCAGGAATATACTACGTATAATATTTGTTAAAAAAAAAAAAAAAAATTATGTAAAATAACTGTATTTTTATTTTTATTTAAAAAATAAAAAAAAGTTATCAACCCCTGAAGTTCCAGGCGTTCTCAAGTTAACAAGTTACTTATTGTAAGGTTGTAACACATCATTCATATACTACCTCCTATTTTTATTATTTGCAACTTTAGAGTATTTTATATCTCACAAATAATACCCAAAAGTTACAAATAACAAAAATCAGAGGCAGTAATTGTTTTTCAGGCGCATAAGTATGATAACTTGATAAGTGAAGAGTAATTTCTAGAAAATCAAAAGAGTGATCTTCAGAATTATTCAAACACTTCTGTTGCAGTTTTGATTAAGCAGTGATTCGTATCAATTCCAGATTTTAATATAGTTCTCTGAGAGAGCCACACTGGCTAACCTCAATAATACTTTTTAGTCTTTGACATTTTTTTTTCAAACTGTTGTCACTTGTCACCATTTAAAGCCCAAATGAGGTGAGGATGAACAATGGGAAGAAGAGGCTCATCAAAGATCATACTAAGCATGCTGTTAAAAATTGCAGGTGATTAGAACTATAGATAGAGCATGGACAAAAAATGACTTTCACCGTATCGTTACTTGAGCTTGGACACCTTCCAAAACAAATCCCATCAATTTGAAGCTGATTGGCATATGATGCCCAAGCCAAGCTCACATTCTCTGTTTTCAAAAATTTCATAGCACATAAATTACATCAGATGAGTAGAGAAGCTATGAGAAGATGCACAAATGCAGGAGGAACAAGGGCAAAGTATCAGGCCTCACGTTGTTCAACTTAGGATGCATGATTCTGCAAATCACTCTCCTCCTCAAATTAGAAAAAACACAGGTTGAAACTGAACTGTGCAATTTGGTGTTCTCTTACCAATTTTTTTCTCCCTACACACTGCAGTTTAACCATCAGAAGTTGTAGAGACCAACGTCAGCAAAGTATTGCTATATTTCTTTTCTTTGCAAGCTATGTGTACAACTCTGTCTCGTCTTCTAACAAGTATTGCAAACACTCACAACTTGGCCCACTTTTAAAAAATCAAGGACCTGCGACAGTCAACATTCACAAATTTATCTACGTGACAGTCGACCCCTTATAGAACTTCTTTTCGTTGTTGTTGGACGAGACGAAGCAACCCTCAACTTTTCCGGACTTTGCTGCTCTTCTTCTTCACTAGTTTCATCTGACCTCCATCTTTGAGCACTACTAGCATTGAAATCAGTGGCAGGAGAGCTGAATACTTCTCGACTGTTATGAGATAAAGCATACGTGAATTATAATAAAGAGATAGTAGATGGGCAAAATTCAAAGCTGCATAAGTTTACCTACGAATCAAATTGATAGCACCCCTGCCTCATGGGAAGGAAAAGAGGGAGGGGGGGGGGGGGGGAGAGAGAGAGAGAGAGAGAGAGAGAGAGAGAGAGAGAGAGAGCAGGATTATTAACCCAGTCAGGAATCAACTTGAGCTAAAAACAAAAGGATCAAAAGGGTCAAGTCTTTTACCTCCATGATATATCCATTGCATCACCTAAAGAAGCCGTATTTCCAGGTCTATCTAGGTCTCTTGGTGAGAACCTCTTGCCAGAGGCAGTTTTGAATCTTTCTTCAGGTGAGTCATCAAGTAAGCCACGGTTACTGCTTGGCGTCCTTGTTGGTTTTGCCATAACCCTTCGAGAATGTGGAGGGCTAACTTTTGGAAGAGGTCCAAACAGACCATTTTGCTCTACTAGGGGAGAAACTTCATCAAGTTGGGCATCTTGAAATTCACCATTGAAAAGCCTTGATGAAGCTCTATTAAAATCTTTAAGAGCCGAAGCCTTCATGGAACGAATTCCAGAGGTCAATACATCATCAAGCTTGGAATTTTTTACCATGCTGAATGGAGGTTTTAATGATTTTTCAGTGTCCATAAAAAAGTTTCCATGAGAAGTAGAGGGAGATGCATGATTTTGAAATTCAGGTTCAGTATCACCAACATGTCCAGCTGGTTTCGAAATTGGAAACCCAGATGACTTGAAAGAAGTGTCATGCTCCATCTGAAGAATAAGGGAAGAGCACAAGGAAGAGGATGCTGAAGGCGTAGAACTAGCTTCTTCTCGCACCCTACCAATATTTGCTTCTCTTTGACAATCAGCCCTGTCTACGCATAAAGCCCTATCCTCCGGCAATTTTCCAGCCATCAATTGCTGCTGCTCGACTTCTGGAAGCAGCTCCACAGCTTTATTCTGATCAAGAGAGAGATACCAATTCAGTCAAAGCCAAACAGGTATACATGCAAGGAAAACAAGATCAAGAGAAAGAGAGTGCATCAGTGAGAGACTTAACCTAAACAATATACAATACTCTACTAGAGGCCAGTTCACAGAGGTGGCCTTTTAATGGAGGTACCATGTGAAATGACTATAAATACTCCCTCCATTTCATTTCAGTTGACACATTTCCAGGCATCCTCAATAATCAGAATAAGAAAAAAAAAATTATGAAGAGGTATTTGAAAAAGATACATTAAGACGAATATAACAAGACCCCACATGACCATGTTCTTAAGTATAAATCATACTCCGTAATATGAAGTCAAATTAACTTATGTTTACAATGCTCAAAATCAAAACATGTCAACTAATATGAAATAGTGGAAGTGCAATGAAAATGATTATGGGGAGAGAGAGACAGAGAGAGAGAGAGAGAGAGAGAGAGAGAGAGAGAGAGCATGTGCATAAATGGTAATATTGTTGCAATATTAGGGGAACAGAGAAATTAATTAATATTGAGAACAGCACAAAAGCAGTATGTTGACTGAAAGAAAAATGGCCAGAAAAAAAACTACCAACAAAATTATAAGTACTTTCCATAACCAACGAAAACACACTGCACGTGAGAAAAATCATTCCTCTCATTTTAAACTAGCTCAGTTGCATGGTGGCAAATGCAACTGAGCTAGTATACACAAAACACTTTAAACCAAAGATCATCTCCAGAAATAATTAAAATTGTAAACTCACTCTTAAAAAAAAAAAAAAAAAAAAAAAAAAAAAAAAAAAAAAAAAAAAAAACCCAAGAGTATAAGCTCAGAGAGAACTCAAGCAAGTCCGGTAAAACTGAGAAAGAAATCAAAACAATATTCAACAAACACAAGATTATCAAGATTAAAATAAGAGATAACAAGTACACAAGATTGAGATCAGTACAGAGTGGCAGTACTTACAACCAATCCTGATCTCCAGTCAGCTGACGATCTCATTCTGTACAAGCCCTCTTCATCACCACTGTTCTTTGATAAGAAATCCTCCTCCACTAACTGAAGCTCCTTATTTGTATGATATGCATCAATATACCGGTGGCGCTGAAGTATTTAAACAACCATATTATTATATTAGATTTCAGGAAACTATGGTTATAGGCCTTATAGCTTTAATTTGAATAATATGCAGATCCAGGCCTACACCAGTCTGAATAAAATTCTTCTTCAGAGAAACAGAATTGCATCAACTTGATAACTTAAATTTTAGGAAATGGGAAGTCTTTTAAGCGAGATGACAAATGGGATGGGAAAGAAACTGGATTTACCAAGATTATAGATGTACATGGAAAAAAAAAAATGAGGGGAGACGAGAAAAGAGAGGGAGTAATCACCTGGAGATAAAACACAACAAGAAGACTTCCAGCAGTTGCAAGAGGATTGTCTATAGCACAATCTAAAAGGCATTTATGAAGATGCCTCTCTTCATCATCATTCCAGGGCAACTCTATGACACGGTCTACAATATTCCTTCTGACACAAAGATAACAAATCTCAGTTACCAGTACAAGCACCCAATCTGTCCAACTTCTGACTTCACCTTCAGATTCATCGAAAGCATCAACTGGCAATTTATGATTCAATTGCTTCTCTTTGACTTTCATACAAAGCATCCTCTGGTACATAAAAGCTTCTGTTAATAAGCCGCATTCCACTCTTACCCTAATGGCTGTGACTGCCTCACTCAAGGAAACCTCAGCTCCACCATCACGGCCACACCACCGCAGAAACATAAGAGCAGAATCAGGAGCTTTCCTTTCTAGCAGAACTTTTGCAATCTTAGGATGAGATTCTGGACCTGCTATCTCTGGAAGAAGGTGGCAAGCTTCCTACATAATATAACAATTTGAGCACTATAAGATTGAAGCATGCCCAATGATATAAAAGCAACCGTTTGGAGCTACAAAAATTAAACTCCAACAATGAAATTGAAAAAATATCAGTGAAAATACAGTTACAGGAATTTTTATAACAAACCATAATGACCAAAAAATTAGAGACCGCAAATTTTAAAAGACACTGGCTTCACTGTTCATGAGCACATAACCACATGGACCTAATAGCCGTGTCACAAAATCCTCCAGCCAATGATAAACAGTTTGGGCATGCTTAGGTTGATGATAAAGTACGGAGAGAGTAAAAAAAGAAATAATAAACAGAAGGTGGATGAGCATGGTAGTCGATCTAATGATATAGTGATTGTGTAAGGAGGAGGGAGGAATGGGGGAATTACTAACCCCATTGGGGATAATAATTACCCATCATGGGTGATGATTCCCCTTCCTACCCTCCCTCCTTGAGTTATTACTACATCGCCCCTATGAACACCACCTAAACTAAACTTCCTCATCTTATTTAGCCTTCAACACCCCCTTAATGCATTACCTTTAATCCAAGCATGCCCATAACAG